TTCAGGCTGTGATCATTTTCATTGACTGAGGGAGGTGGTTGTCATAGATTTTCACTGCCACAATATGTTGAATAATTTGGTATCTCTTTTACTAGACTCTATGAATTGGTAGTGGAGTTCCCTACCTCATCTGTTTAATACATAACGTACAGCTCCAGGCTTGTTTGCAACAAAAAGCCACTTTATGATGTCGTTCTTTTGCCCAAACATCTTCAGTAGCTCCCCATGAAAGCTCTATAAAGTCAAAATTATAATCTGAAATTTAAAACTTTTATCCTTTCATTGAAATTAATCTGGGAACTCCACATGAACTCTAGTTAACTGGCTTGTGGGAGCCTTTCATATTTAGGCTTTTCCATCACTAGTCTGTTTTATTAATTTGCTCCCCATATAGTGTGACATTTCATCTTTCTCCATCCATCAAAAGCCTATCTACCCTTCCAAGTCTGGTAGAAACTCCAGCTTCTTCCATAACTACTAAAGCTTAAGAATTCATGCTGTTCTTTATGTCTCCATCACTTACTTGCTAGTTTTCACTTCCTTTCCAGTTTTTCATATATGCATACATATACACATACACAAACATGAGTATGCATACTTGCAAATGTGGGTGTCTACATGTATGTACATATGTATATGTTATGTGTGTACATCTATATAGATGTATGTATGTATATGCATTTTTTAAAAATTTAGTGCATATTTGCACTACATAATGTTTGTTTGGAGTTGGTACCTGTACATAACATCCTAATTTCTTTTTTTATCCCTTTCCCTACCTGTCATACCCACCCTCCTCTCTCTCTTTATGTCTTAATCTCCTTCACAATTGAGAAAGAGCTCTCTCTCCTACTTCCTATCATCTATCTTTTATTTTGTCCTTTATATTTTGGGTTTTGCATACAGGATTGAAGGTTGTATGTCTGATTTATTTCACTTAACATTATGGTCTCAAGGTGCATCTATTTTCCTACAAATGACTCAAGTTTACCTTTCTTTATGGCAGAGTAGTATTCCATTATGTATAAGTACATTGTTTTTATCCATTCATCTGTTGATGGACATATAGGTTTAATCCAAAATTGAGCTATTGTGAATTGTACTGCTACAAATAATGTGTATGCGTGTATCACTGTTAATATGATTTCTTTTAGTCAAGACCTGGGTCAAGTGGAATTTCTAGGTTTAGATTTTTGAGGAATCTGCATACTGATTCTCATAATGGTTATACTAGTTTACATTCCCACCAATGATGTATGAGGTTCGCTTCTCCTCTCTGGCATCTCTAGCATTTGTTACCATTTGACTTTCATGATGGCCGTTCTTTCTGGGATAAGACAGAATCTCTATTGATTTAATTTACATTTCTCCAATGGCCACTGATGTTGAGGATTTCTTCGTGTATTTTTTGGCCATTTGTACTTCATCTGTGAAGGTCCTACTTACTTCACTTGCCCAGTTTTTAATTGGGTCTTTTATTTTGAGTTTTCTAATATGTTTTAGTTCTTTTGTATTCTACATATTAGTTCTTTCTCCATGGAATAGCTGGAAAAATTTTTTCCTGTAATGCAGGTTTCCTTTTCACTTCATTGGTTGTTTCTTTTGCTATGTCGAAGCTTTTAATTTGAAATGATTCCATTTGATGATTCTCTATACTATTTCCTGTGCAACCCAGATTCTGTTGTGTATGTCTATGTCTATGTCTTCAGGGGTTTTACCTACTTGGTTCTCCAGAACATTCAGTCTTTTTGTTTCAACAGTTAGTTCTTTGATCCATTTTGATTTTAGTTTAGTACATGCTGAGAGATATGAGTCTAGGTTCAATATTCTGCATGTGGATAGTCACTTTTTCCAACATTATTTATTAAAGAGACTATCTCTCCTCCTGTGTATGTTCCTGGTCTTTTGTCAAAGATCAGAGTTGAATGCACTTGGAATTGTTTCTACATCCTCTATTTTGTTCCACTGCCTCTTATGTCTGTTTTTGTGTCAGCACCATGAAGTTTTTATCATGGTAGCTTTGTAATATAACTTTAAGCCCAGGACTGTGATGCCACCTGCTTTGTTCTTATTAGCCAGGATTGCTGGTTCCATATGAATTTTAGTATTGTTTTTTGCAGTTCTGTGAGGAATATCACTGGTACTTTGACTAAGAGTACATTAAATATGTATATCAATTTTGGAAATATGACAATTTTGACTGTGCTGGTTCTGCTTATGCAAGAATAGGGGGTTGTGTGTATAAACTTCATTGTAGGCAGGAATTTTTCCTTATTTTCCTTAGAATTCACTCTGTGCCATGTGCATAATGTTTAAATTATAATGTTTAAATTATGGATAGTCCTTCCCTTTTGCCATACAATTTGATTAGTGATCCTATTTTATGGTCAAAATTTATTGGTATCTAAAGTCTTACATATATTATTATAGACAGCAACTCATCCTACGAGGAAGATAATATCACTTTTCCATTGTATAATTTGTAAATTGAGCCTTAGACTCGTGAAGCATTTTGGCCAAAGTCACAAGTTGTCAGTAATAGAGCTGAGACATGAATATCAGTGGTCTAACTCTAGGGTCAGATCTTTTTGTCATATCATGATCCTCTGTCTTTTACCTAAACAGTACATTTATTTAAAAATTCAAGCTCATAGATTTGAGAAGAAAAGATTTTTCAAATCACACCCTAAAAGGATGTTTTAAAACATCTTTATTTCTTTTACCTGCCAAAGAATACCTCCACACATGACAAACCCATGTTGCTCGTCTTTTTGTAGATTAATTTTCAGAGAATTACTGGTAATTCAGATGACAGTTACATATCATTGACTGGTAGTTCCTTGCTCTTTCCCTGCACCGTATTTGTTTGGTAAAGTTTTTCCTCTGCATAATATTTGGTAATGAGAAATCTTCAAAACAGCCTGGGAAACATGGAGTGACACTTCTGTCTCTCTAAACGTTATGTTTTTATGAGATTTCTCCTGAACCAAAGCTTGACTAAAAGCCAGATGCTGAAAATATATAGCCCCTATGAGAGGGCAGAGGTGAGGCAAATAAGACATGAGTAAAACAAAACACCCAGTGCAGTCCTTGGGCTGGCCTGGTGAAGGTCCACTTTCTCTCAAACCAAACTTGGGTTCTCCAGAAGAGTTATTGCTTACTTGTAGGTAATCATATGGCTTTCTTGAGCTAATAAGAAACATTTTTGTTAATCTGCATAGCAGAAGAGGAGAAAGAATGGTGATGAGGACACAAAGGCACAGGATTTCAACTTAATGAGAGCCATCACACCTAACAATAAGCATACATTAGGGGACCTTGACAGAGACCGGGCAGAAAATGGGTAGGGGTAGCATTTCCTGGCAAGAAAACTTTCTTTCAGTTCACTTTTCTAGGTCAATGTTATCACATCCACTGGCTTTTTATGATCAAATACAAACACAAGGCTGAAAAGAACTTTGAACTATTTCACTTTATGACTACTCCGTGTGTGGGGTGGGGTGGGGTGGGGTGGAGTGGGTATATGTGTGTTGGAGGAAAATTTTTTCATTAGTTTTTTTTTCTTTTTTTTTTTCTAATAAGCAGATTTTACTATTGACAAATTGTCGGAAAATTTCTCCAGGAAATCTCTGCTCCTGCCCTCTAACATCAGAGCATGTTTGAGCCATAACTTTTACTTTTAGAACTCTGAATGAACAGTTTGATTCCCTCCTGTCTTTCGGGGTGTTACTATAAGGCAACAGCTCTCCTTTTCACTCACATATACCTTCAAAACAGACCAAGAAAACAACAGGAAGTAAATACATACATATCTCAAAAAGTCCATAAATTTGTTGCATAGTAGTTAGATAAATATTTATCAATTCATTCATTCAGGAAAACAAGTTGAACATCAGTTCTGTGCCAGGATACTTTGCACACAAAGAGGAACACAGGAGCACAAGGAGGAACAGTTGTGAGGCATGGAAGGTGCAGGCATCCTGGCTGGGCAGAGGAGGTGAAGATAAGATTCACCGTCAGGAGAGGCAGTAGCGTGGCTTTGCTGGTCACTGGTTAGAACATGATGTTTTCAAGGTCACAGGTGTGAAGCCAGCAGGACTGATTTCAAGACCTAGAGGAACTCAGTATGGCAAGAGTGCAGAGAAGAAGGAAAGCGGTGAGAGATATTAAAGAAAGGAGGGAGAACCAAGTCTTAGACACTCATTCATGGACTTTACATGGATTTGCATTTCGGGAATATAGACTTTTTTCTGTGTACAGATGGATATGTCATAGGCCAGTCTAATGCAAACTTCAAGTTAAGTGATTGGCTATAATTTATTTTTTCCTTTCAGCGACACATTATTTTCTATTTTTATATTGCTTGCCTTTTCTTTTGCGCCCGCTCCTCCAAGTCCAGAAATGGTGGTATGTTTGAGTAGCTCCATGTTAGCTGTCATTTCCAGGCTTTTATTTGGTTGACTTCTACAGTGCTGTGTTACCTGAAAGCCTGTAAAATAACAGGAGACCACTATTAAAGCTAAAATGTTAGAGGGAAGAAAGCTTTAATTTCAAATGCCTTAGTGAAAATCTGAAATACCTACCGAATAGACAGTCCAACGTTTGAGAATCAAGTTTAACTTTTCAGTCATTATAGAAGATTAGCTTTGCAAATAATTCCCATGTGTGGGGGGGTGTAATGAATCATTTTCTGTTGTAGCTCCATAAGAATTAGTAGCACTTGTAGAAATATGTATGACTCATTAAGTTCTCCACAGCTAGAATCCTATTTAGAAGACATTGCCAGAAGAAAATCATGCCTTTAGGGAAATAAGTATTCTAGTTGTCAAAAAACCAAGTTGCCTAATTGCTGTGGGAAATACAATGCATTTGTGGCAGTTAGGCTACTGAGGAAGACTTGGTTAGCCCAGGCTTTCTGTGGTGGTAACTTCCTCTTCCAGTGGGAGAAACTGCCAGTAAAGGAAGAATGACAATTTACATACCAGAGAAAGGCTAATCTGCCCCAGGTCTTAGTCACAGCCTGCCTGCTTGAGACATCCTGGGAAATCCCTGCTTGGAAGAGAAAAGTTAAAATCACAGTTTCTGCGCTTATAAGTTTATTCTGTGTAATTCACATAGAGTCACCTCTGCATTTTCAAAGAAAGATTACCATTGCTATGTTCTGACATGAATTAATGATAGCTTGTGATTTTCAAAGTTTGTATGATCGATCTCATTCTAAAAGATAACCATAAGAGATTTTTTCCCCCCTTTTGCTTTCCAAGATTCACAGAGGAAAAGCTTCCATGGCACATTTGGCAGAAGGCACAGCTGGAATGAGTGCTGCAGAAAGTTCTACCGAGCATGCAGAGGTAAGAAACGCGTTTCTGGTGATGAATTGGCCATATTGAGTAAAGATAAATTTCCAGTAGTTAATTGTGCCAGGATAAATAAGAGCAGAAATGGCTAGTTTGTTAGATAACATCTGCTCTTATTTTCAAGCAATGTTATTAGACATAGAAAAAGTATCTAGGTGACTATTGTACTGCCTTTAAACCCTGTCTTTCTTCTTCTACAAAATGATTAGATTAAATCTGTTCAAACTCCTGTCAGTTTGCCAATTCGGTGTGTTTCATATTTTGCCCTTAATTTAGAACAATGTTGTTCAATATAAAAAGTTAAAAGGAATACTATATTGTGACTATAAATAAAGCATTTAGCAGGAGTGTCTATAGTAAAACATATATTTACAATTGATATTACAGCTTTTGTTCAGTTACTGAAAGAATACTATATGAATTAATTAATTACTTAAAATGTATCCTTATTTTTTCAAAAAAGAGTTTCCCAAAGTAAAATGAAAAACTTGGTGGAAATCTGTTCATTTAGATTTTAGATATTTACTTTTATTTTGTCAGAACTTAAATATATGAGACTTTGTCAGGGTGTTAGAGTAGAGAAAGAAATACCCATATTCATTGAATATAGATTATATTTTATAGAATGTAATTATAGGGAATTACTTCTAGGGGATAAATGTTCTGAAATCAGGCCTTTACCCAACAACTAAAATTTTTTGTATTGATTGCAATATCAGATGCCTTTATTAACAACTAAAAAGCAAATCAAATACAAATGGAATGTTTCCCAAAATGTTTGCATTTGATTGCTTCTGCTGTGTTTTAATACACACTTGAAAAACATAAGCCATTGTTAAAATGCTAACTGCTTTATATTACTTAATTGTTCATATTCATTGTTTTCTGTCCTTTCTGATCTCTTCGTCTCAGTTTCAGAAATTAGTACTCCTGAAATTACACATAGGTTTTGTCGCAGACTTAGTACCTTGCTTTCCAAGAATTCTCATTTTTAAATAAAAATTAAGGGTCAAAGCATTTTACAATTTTTTGAGGAAAATTACCCATGAGGGCAAACCACAACAGCAGTAACAAACACTGTCTTTCGGTTCGCAACTCTTCTACTAACCTGTTTGGAAACTCTGTTTTAGTGTTATTTGTATTTACATTTTTCTTTTTAAAATAAAAAAAAAATTTCCAGAAGATAAAAGCATACATATTTTTTGCTGCTACATAGTTTTGTTTACATCATGAATAGAAAGGAGGACTTTTCAGGGCCCAAATGTCACATTTCTAAGCATGATCTATGTTAGGAGGATACTGAACTTAAGTAGAAATTATGATTACCTAAGACATTTGTTTAAAATAGAGATGGCCTGGTCCCTTTCCTGAAATTCTGATCTCAGATGTGGGTCGTTACATTCGGTGTTTGGTGAGCTCAGCAATGCCTTTGATGTGCTTTTGAGTTGACAATCACTGGTCTAAAATCCAGTCTTACTGCCCCTCTGCCTTCGTAAGCCCAGGACACACTGAACAGGGTTCACTCAGAGCATTTCTTCAGCTTAAAGATGCTTAATGTTTAGTAAATCTTAACCCAGAATGGGACCAGCCTTAACAGTATTCTTCAGAAAAGAGAAAGTCCACTTTCAGGACCAAGATACTTGTCATCTGGTGTTCAGGCAAATCAGCTTCCTGAGGTTAACAGCAAGTATCATTTTGAATTCACTGACTTTTAGTACACTGTCACTTAGAATACGGTTTTAGTTATAACAAGTGACTAAATTGAAAGAAGTTAAGAAAACTGAGAACAGCATCCATATAGGTATAAAGTATCAAACTCTAAAATACTTGAGACAAGCCGGGCCTGGTGGCACACTCCTATAACCCCAGCACTCTGAAGGTTGAGGCAGTAGGATCAGCATGAGTTCAAGGCCAATCTGGGCTCCATAGTGAGTTCAAAGCCAGCCTGAACTACATGGTGAGATCCTGTCTCAAACAAACACTTGAGATAGGAGTACGTAAAGAAAGATAGAAACATAACATTTCATAAATTTTTTCTAATGGAAAAAATCTTCTAAATCCCACAATGATTGCAAAAGAACTGTTTTCCTCAAAGCATTTCCAGCACTGACCAACATATCTGAAAATATTTCTTGTTTATAAATGCCTTTAACCAACTGGATGGTCTACAGTAGCTATGAAGCCTGAAACCAAGTGCAGATTTAGGGACGACCCTCATCTCTCAGTTTATTGCATTATTTGTATGACGCAGTTGCAGGAGAGGAAATGGACCTTTATGTGATTGTCGCTGGTGGTCAATTTAGCCAAGTGGCAGTCGGTTACCAGAGCTTTTGTATTTCTTTAAATAAATACTCATGTTCCTGAAAAAATATAACTGGAATGAAAAATGATCAACCTTTTCATTACATCAATAATTTGTTATTTGGTCTAAACTTCTACTCTAGTGGCTTAATTCAAAAATCTTGTTAAAATTACATAGTACCAGATAATCTATGCCCATTTTTATGTGAGAGAGAGAGTATGTGTGTGTGTGTGTGTGTGTGTGTGTGTGTGTGTGTGTTACTGGGGATGAAACCCAGGGTCTTTTGAATGCTAAGCACTTATTCTACCAGTAAGATACGCATCCCCAACCCCAGAATTAGATTTTTTTGACACATTAGAAGAGTTGGCTTAAAGGTATGGGGTTTGTGAAAGTCAGTGCGCCTCCTGTATATTTTGTAGATTATTTTATCTCAATCTTTTTTTTAAGTGTGCTCAGTCATCAAGAAGGAAAACTTTGACAAGTCCTCTTGAACATAAGATAAGATGCTTGGAAAAACAGAGAAAAGAGGTAATTTAGAAATAATTAACCACATATAGTTAATGCTAACAATAAAATATCCTTTAGTATCTTTTACTTTGGTTAGTAAGCAACACTATCTCTAGCATATGGGGATGCATTGTCTTAGAAGGAAAAGTTTTTTAATCAGTATTTGTGCAATACTGAATGAAAAAAATGACAAAGCCATAAATCTGATAATTATAATCCCAACTTCCCAAAAGTTCAATGGTTCTTGCACATGGACAAAGTAAGTTTATCACCTCTGTCCTTCAACAAAGAGAGGCCTCGAGTAAAATGGACTTAGATGTATGGTATCATGAATCAGGCATCTTATTACGCAGGAATAAGGATTATTATTTCAAAAATATATTGAATTCTAGAATATGGTTGAGAACTAACTGATACTGTTAATTATACTGTTTTTATTTTCTGTGTTTAGTGAATAGCAGAATCTCTTTTCTTGACAGAGGAGAAAGTGAAAAATGTAACAGCTTTAGCATTTCACATGTCATCTACTCTGTAATTCCTTTTCTCACCTGTTCTGTGCTATGTATATTTCGTTGTTCTCTTCTGTGGCACTTTTTACTCCTCCTTGATGATGCATAGAATGCTGTGCCCTTCTGGGGAATTACTGAACATGCTAGAGTAACGTTACTACAGTAAAAGAATGTTAACCCTCAAACTATCTTTATACAACAATTTGATGTAGCTGTATATTAAATAACCACATCTATTTCCACCATAACAGTTACCTACTTTGTAACTGCCATTCTGAATTAGGTATTTGTTTTGTAATTAAGAGATGGTTTTGACCATTGTGACTCTCTATTCTTGGTGTCTGTCCTGCACTAGTGTCATATGTTCTCTTAATATGGGAAACTGCAAACTTCCCCTGCATAAAAATAAAGCAGGTCATAGTGTTGCTACTTCTAATTAGAAGATAGTTTAAGAACTTTTAAATTATTGGAACTAAATATTGCCTTGTGGTAAAGATATTATTCCTTGAAGATTTGTACTTTCAAAATGGTGATATCCATTCACTGTGTATCACAGACAATGTGATAATCTTTTGAAGCACATGCTTGTGAGCAAATGATTACTAGTTAATAAACTTTAATATGAATTTCTTTTAAAGCTAAACAATTCATTATAAAATCATTTTAAGCACATATAAAGGTTTGAGAAAAGACCTTTCATATATCAGTAGCAATTCTACATCTTGCAAAAAACTACCCATCCTTACAATTTTTTACAGATTCCAGTTACGTTAAAAAAGATGGTGGAAATTTAAATAAGAAAAGTTAAAGTAGTTGATCAGCTGTTTAGCTGATTTTTCAAGGTATACCTAAGTCTTAATAGTGTTTCCTATATTAAAAAGTTATGAAAAGGTGAAAAAGTATCTGATTAAGTCATTCAAGCTGTTAGAACTTACTGGAAGGAATACTGTGTCCTCCTATGGCTTTCAAAATCTCAGCAACCTCAAAAAGTAATTGCGTGTTGCCCAATTGCCAAATGGGCAGAAATATTTTATTAATTTACTAAATTTTACTAATTTCAGCTTCTGGAAGTTAATCAGCAATGGGATCAGCAATTTAGAAATATGAAAGAGTTGTATGAAAGAAAGGTAAAAACTTCTATTTGAGATTTTTGTAATCTTGGTGGGACCACATGTGTGAAGATTCATTGGTTTCAGTTAAAAGAGACTTGTGGATACCCAGCTGCTGAAAAAATGAGGGGCTGTGGGGAGGAGATGAGTGCGGTACTGGCTCTTGGTACTGAAGATTAATGGACGCTGTCTGTGAACTGTCTTGAGCACCACTAAAGAAATAAGCTAAAATAGCCCCTGATGATGACTCAAGAGTTCTCATGCACCCTTATTCTACCTTGTGTGGGATCTCCTCGCCTACCTTTTGTTACTAACAGCCGTAAATGCACAGGTTCTAGCTGAGGTCGGGGACAGTTCCAAGTCCATATTGTGTTATGAGAGATTAAGGCTGTAAGTATGTTTTGAGACAGAGTCTTGTTATGTAGTTCAGACTGGCCTTGAACTCACAGAGATCCTTCTGCCTCAGCCTCCCAAGTGCTGGGATTACAGGCATGTGCCACCATGCCTGGCTCCTAATTCTTTAATTAAATTGCATCACCTTTTTTCCATAAAGAAACAAACAGTGCTAAGAGTGAAAGTGAGGGGGAACCTCTCCCTTACAACAAAGCACATTCACTATCAAGAAGCTTCAGCTTTGGTAGAAAGGAACACTGTGGAGAAAATCTCCTGGAATAGGTAAAAGTCAGTTTGTAATTTAAAAGTATTCTGTCTTCAAAAAGAGAAAGTAAATTCCCACAAATAATTCAGTTTTAAGAAACTTGACCACAAGTAAGTAATCTAACAGCACTGTTCCCCATTTTGATACTCAAGTATTAAATTTAGAAGGTGCAAAGTAATGTTCTCACTGCACCAGGCAATAAATCAGGGTGCCTTGCAGCAACTATTTGGGAGTATTTGGGGACTCCAGATTTTAAAGACAAAGATTCAGAGAGAATGTTCAAGCTGCTTTCCTGAACTGCTTGCAGGCAGAGGTGTGAAAACAGATGTTCACAGTGGGTACCTTTCCCACCTTGGAAGAAGAGGTCCTCTCACTGGGCCTAAAGTCTAATTTGGCATCTAGCCCGAGCCCAAGTGCTGCAGATTACCGACAAGTGAAAGGCCATGTCTTTTTTTCCTGGCGCAGGCTGTTCTCCCGGTGCCCTGACCCCTACTGCCTTCTCCCAATCAGCCAAGAAGGCCTCTCCTGAGCGCTAAGAGTAGGCAACGCAGCAGAGACCGCCTGTAGGGGGCCTAAGTTTTCATTCCCTCTGAGGTAGGGGTGGGGGACAGATCCAGAGGCTACTTCCTTGGGAGGCCTATGCTCTTCACCTTTGACCAAGCGCTTTATAAAATCCAAGTCCTCAGATCTGTGTGGTATGGGCGCTAGGACGTGGCACTTCTCAGGGGATGCCTTGGAGAGGACACGTCTGTCCCCAGTGCACAATCTGGGAACAAATCCGGGGTGAGGAGCTTTAGAACAGATGTCTGCAACTGTCTCTGACTGCCTTCCTCAGGTCGCAGAGCTGAAAATGAAACTGGTCGCTGCCGAAAGAGTCTGGGGCACCCTGGAGAGGGAGCCACAGCAGCAGGAGAGAGCACAGAGTCAGAGGCTGGACACGGGGCAGCGCGACCTGACCCGGGAGCCGCAGCTGGAGGTGGGTGGAGTCCTCGCAAAAGGGCTCCCAGTGAAAGTTGGGGGCGGTTTCCTGCCGAAAACCTACCGACCGTTGTGTTAAAATCAGCTCACTGCTGAGCAACGTGCGAGGGTGTGGGTTTCGCAAGTCCTCAAGCACCATCAGTAGGGCCACTTCTCTGGAATGAAGAGGGAGGTGACTGCTGGCTTCCTCATGTATTTTGCAACAACCATCATTTGCCAGGCCTACCGGGAGAGGGAAGTAGTCCGTGGGTTAGGTGGTGTCTTTCTAAGGCATCTCAGTCTAGGAGAAAAAAAATTTTCTTTTCATGTGTGTTGTTTTGATTAGTAGTGATAACAGGAGTGCAATACATTGTACAGTGGCTTTCCAGTTTGCAGAATTTTATGAATAAATATTACTTTCTTTCTTTCTTGTATTGCTGATCAAATGCTTTGGCACTTTACCTGTGAGCTACATCCCATCTGAGCCATTTTTATTTTTATTTTTATTTTTACCTTAAGACAAGGGCTCCCAAACTGCTCAGGATAACCTTGAATTTGTGATCCTCTTGCCTCAGCCTTCTGAATAACTGGGATTACAGGTACACACTGCTGTGGCTGGCCAGTGTCACTTTTGTACTCATAAAAATAAAACATTTTAGAAAGCATGTCACCATCTTTATCTCATTTAACACTGTCAGCCCACTTTTGAGGAAGATAAGTTTGCCAGGCAAAGATGAGAAAACCGCCGTGCTAAATGGCACACACCTGTAATCCCAGCTCTTCAGGAGTCTGAGGGAGGAGGATTACAAGTTCAAGGCCAGCCTGGGCAATTTACTGAGACCCTGTTTCAATATTAAATAAAATAAGAACTCCCCGGGTTGAATCCTTAGTTCTGCGCAGGGGTAAATGAGAAAGCAGAGGTGTAAAGAAGGCTACAAGACTTGGCAAGTTTCCTGAAGTAGTACCTTGAGTCCCGCCTTGAAATTCTAAGGCTCTCTGAATCCTGGCTAAGAACTAGATGGTAACAATTGAGAAAACAAATTTCTTCTAAAATAGATTCTATTTTTTTTCCTAATTTTATTTTCACTGACTGAACTTCATGGCTATTGCAGAACATGAGAAGGAAACATTAAATTCCTAAAAGTCACTCTTTTTTTAGGCACAGGGCAAAAGAACAGTAAGTGTCAATATTCTCAGGTGAAGTTTTATTGAGGCACTGTCAATATTTTAAAATCTGAAGCCCATGTCTAAAATCAGCAGATAGGGGCTGGGGATTTAGCTCAGCGGCAAAGCGCCTGCCTGGCAAGCGCAAGGTCCTGAGTTCGGTTCCTGGTACCGGAGAAAAACCAAAAAAAAAAAAAAAAAGTGAAAAAATAAAATCAGCAGATGATGCCAGGTCGGGTGTGTCCACCTGGTTAAGGATGACTTCGTCTTAGTAAGTCAGGAAAATAGGGTTCAGTAGCGCCCTTTTCTCTGTGGCAGTTACTTCCTATTCCAATTACATCTGGACACGGAATCTTAGTAATTTTTCCTTCCTGCAGTTGGAATCATTTTCTTATTGAAGTAATTTTCTCTTAAATTATGCTATACAAGAAAATGATTGGTTCATATTCCAAATGTGTAAAGTCATTTCATTTAAATAAGAGCAAATAGGAAAAATTTCCACTTTTAAAGAAAATGATTGCCTAAAGTAGATTGCTTCGAGAAATACTAAAGAATAAAATAGCCCATTACTTTAACACATATATATTAGCTATTTTCTCACCTTGAGTTACCTATATTGTACAATATTTATTTGACTAGACCACGTTCTCATTAAGAATCCAATTTACTCCACAAAAATTTTACTGTCTACTACATAAAATTAAGAGATAAGTGACATATAAATACCTGAGTCCAGAGCCTGTCAGTGTCTAAGAACTAACCCTCAATTATTTAAAACACTAGACTTTCTACTGATCTAAAACATGGATACATGAGAGAAGTTGGAGTAACTGACCTTCACCTTTGAAAATAATAATTTTACAGTAATCCTGTGTTCTGAGTAATTATCTTTAAGGAATGGTCTTATCTGCCTACAATTTATTTCCTTTGATCAGTACAGAATTACACAGGAATGGGTTTTGAGACATTTATTACTCTTCTGTTGTAACAATAAATTTTGCATTTTAGGATTTTCAGATTCTTTTACTGAGTTACATATTCATCATCCAGCAACAGTACAGGGAAACTGGATTACTGGGCAAACCCATTTATTTGACCATTGAAAGAGAGGATTAGAGATTTTGCTATCTTTCTCTGGGATCCCCAAACTTCTAAGAGGTAGCACCCGAGTTTTTATGCATGAAAGATATCTTCAGTCCCAACTCTGACCTCCCTGAAAAGAATATTGCTCAAATGAATGTTAAAAGAAAAAATCTGGCAGGGGCCCCATCTGTCCGGTATTTCAGAAAGATTACTCCTCCATGGGCCCCAGCAGCTGATGTGTAAGGATTCTTAAAGTATCATCTCCTTTGACTTGTATTGATTTTCATCTTGTTTTCTTGCTCTTTACTTCAGAAGGAAAAGGAAAACCTAAATGAAGAAATACAGCAACTGAAGAAAGAGAATAAGCTTTTGAAGGAAAAAAATGCTCTTGTGAATAAGAAGAGGGAACATTATGAATGTGAAATAAAACGCCTCAATAAGGTACCAGGCCGGGTCAGGCGTAGGAGATCAGAGCAAAAGCTTCCTGTAGACCAGCACTTTTCCCTTGAGAGTCATGACAAACATCTAAGCTGTGTGTGGCTCCCAGCCTCACAGTTTGCACAGAATGTAACTTCAAGCACAGGATGGTCTCTGTAACTTTATCAGTCAGTATTGCAGCTTCCAGCCATACTTGGCCAAGGAGGCTTCAGGAAATCCATATTCCCGCAAAGGTTCATCAAGAAAAACAGAAAAAGGGGCTGGGGATTTAGCTCAGTGGCAAAGTGCCTGCCTGGCAAGTGCAAGGTCATGAGTTCAGTTCCTGGTACTGGAAAAAAAACAAAAAAAAAACCAGAAAGGAGGAGGAATTATAGAAGAGAGTAAGGACATTTCTTTTTTTGTGTTCTGAAGGACTAGACAAAGCAAGTGGATGTCTATACAATAATACATCTCTTGGCCAATTCCAAGGGCTCTTGAGGAAACAAATTATTCTTTAAAATAGTCACTGTGGGGCAGAGGAGATGCCAAACACATGGAAGTATGCTTAATGTCAAACTCACAGCTGCCATGGAGCTCTCCCCACAGTAACCCTAAAACCCTCCTTTCATGGGTGTGGCAGGAGGAAAGGTTGGGGTTTGTAGGCCATGGAATGGTTTAATACTTTGGCTCCAACTTAGCTTTTCAGAGAAAGAACTATAAATTGTTGCAAAAAGATGGTGTGTGTGTGTGTGCCTGTGTGCATGTGTGTGTACAGGGGTGTTTTATGCACTAATTTTCTGGAGGAAAATATAAATTCTTTTCTGTTGATTTTTTTTTTTTTAAGAACCAAGCTACATGTGAAACATGGGAATGTTGTAGCAGGTGGCTGGGTTGAGAAACACATCTCTAACTGGAGATTTCATGTCAAAGTAACAAAAGTTATCTCTTACCAGAGAAGTAGGTGATCGACCTTTAAAACATGTTCAACTTCTTTTTTAATTTTCGACTGAGTTCTCTTGGTTTTAGTCAATTAGTGTTCAGAAGTGTCATTTAAGGATACACACACACACACACACAGACATCTGACAAGATCTAAATTATTAAAGTATTTTTGTTCTTTTTCTAAATTCTTACTGGAGGAAGAAGAAAGTTCCTATCTCGCATACAGCTTCCTGTAAATGATACAAATGTCAGGCTAGGCAGTATTTGTAGTTTCTAAGGCATTCTATTAGGAAATTCCCAGTCTGACAACACATACTCACAACCACAGATGTGCTTTTCCTTTCTGGCTTTTATGACCATATTGTATAGTAACACAAGGGAATGAGTATTACTGATGTCATCAAATGGACACCACTGAGATACTTACCAAAGAAATAGTCACAGAGGAAGTAAATTCTGCTTCAGACTCTGAAAATGAACCTTTTCTACTTGTATGAAGGAGTCATTTGCTTAATGAGCAAGTCATCATACTGTGTGTCTAAGGCCACAGGAGAATGAGAAATGTTATGTAATGTCATTTTTATTGAAGTCATCATGAACTAAAGTTTTCTGTTTTTTTTCAGTACTTAGGAGTGAATCCAGGGCCTTTGCTCTGAGCTACTTCCCCATTCCTTCTTATTTTTTAATTTGAGACAGGGTCTCCCTAAGTTGCTAAATTGCCGAAACTAGGCTTGAACTTGTGATCCTCCTGCCTCAGCCTCCCTGAGTGCTGGGATTACAGGCATGGGCTACCGTTCCTGGTCCATAGGTCTTTAAAATGGAAGTGATGTCTTTTATAAGATCTAAGTACATGCTATGTAAGAACATAAAGGGTTAACAAGTAAGGACGATGACCTTGTTGACAAATACATTTATCTCTAATTTCTTTAGCTCCTCACCCCACAGTAAAAACACCAGGATTTAGTGCATGTCACCTTGCCCTGCAGTGAATGTTTTAATAAGGAGTAAATACAACTGTTGCTAGGTCAGGGCATGTTTTCCTGAAGGAGAACAGCAGGTGAGTGGCCCAAAAGGAGAAAGAGTGAATCTGAATGAATTCATGTGTCTGAATTTCCCTCTCTCGTGTTAAGGGCATGGTATGGTTACATAGCAGGATATTACTGAAAACATCACTCAGGACCAACAACATCAGCTATTGCAATTTGCAGTTTCTTGAGTTCTGTTCTCAGGTTTACTGTCCCAGCAGCTCTGGGGTCAATGCTCAGGGATGGGAATATATAATCCTTTCGATCCTCCTCATAGTTTGGGCATCACTGCTAGAATATGTACTTCATTGAAGCAGCAAATCTGCAAAAAGGCTATACATAAGTTTTCCTTCTTTAGTTAACCAAGAGGAGAGGAGTCCAACATTAGCCCTCCCACATGATAATGAAGCATGAATAACATAGGCATAACCATCATGCAGCAAAGACAGAAATTCTGAAAATATACAAGAGAGAGGAAAGCTATCAGTCATGTAAACAACATTGGAAATGAAATGCTACCTGGTGGGTGCCCCTGAGACAATTATAGCAGCTACAGAGGAATGTGTAGGGTGTGGTAAGTCTCAGATCAACAGTGTGCTCATTTTATAACATAGGCCCTTCATGATGTCTTGAAAATTGAGAGTTCTTCATTTTCTGAGGACTGTTCTGGGAAATCTAAAGTCAAGTGCAACCATGCAGAGATGATAACGGAAATGGAAGTCCTCAAACAGCAGGTGAGAAGTTGGAAGTGGCATGACCCTGGGGAGAACACTGGGCCCATTGTTCGTGCTTGTTTGGACCCGTTTGGATGTCTTATTATTCAAAAGATGTCATAGGTTTTCACATTGCTTTTAATTAGAATTATCTAATTGATAGAAAGAATAGCGACCAGCTAGTTCACTCCCATAGTTTACAAAAGAAGGACTTGAGTTCCATATGGGTTAAATGGCTTATCCAAGCTCACACGGTTAACAGAGGAGCACCCAACTTAACCTCTGGGTGCGACTCTGTTGGCCCTGAGACTACCGAATTTCGTGTGGGCAGGATTTGTTTTGAAAACACTGCTAACCCAAACTCTTTTCAGAAAATAATAGCAGCGCTGCAGTCATCTCCTCGCTGCTGGCCTGAACAATAAGCGCAGTCGAAAGGGGATATTTTGCAGTGATTATAATCACTGAAGAGCCAGCTGTGCTCAGCTACCCACACGCACGGGTGGTGCTGCCAATAATGTGCTGATGTGCAACAACTTCCTCCTCCCCGTTCATCAGACTGCACTCACCACCACCGAGTGGACAGCAAGTACTAGGATGTGCTGTGTACATTTTCTATATTGAGCAGCATAGGACGGCAAGATATGGCACTGCCTCAACTATTTACACCAAATTTAGTTCAGCTAGCTGGAGTTTGCCTTTCTGGGGGACCAGCCATGCACTTTTTTTCTTCTGAGAGATGAAATAGACCAACTAGGTAAAAGAGTTAGAGCAGTCCATGGTGATATTAACACATATAAGCTACATGGAGAAATCACCCCCCCTGAAATACAAATTGACAATACTATACTAGTCATGGAAAAGAGAGTGTCATAGAGTAAAGGGCCGGAAAGTATTACTTTTCTGATCTTTTTCAGTGTGCTTTGTTGACTAGTTTTGCCTGAGCAAGTGTCAGTCACAGTGTTCTTGTTGCAATACACAGACTAACTGAGCAATTGTGCTATTGTTAACTTACTTTATTGTTATTAGTTCATAGGAAGTAGCCTATATGTAAATAGAGCTAACTAGTTCAGAGCACTTGGTGGTAAAGTTGAGTTTTCTCTTCCAGCAATCACATTTGAATAATCTACTTCATTGCATTTGGATCATGTGTACAGCTTAAAATAAACCCATAGAGAGAATAAGGATAGTACTCAGATTGTTAAAGCTCTGTCAAATTCTCAACTCCTAAAGTACTGTTGGTGCTAGCCAGGATTCTTTGGGAAGGAGGGGTGCTGCCTATGTTCGGATACTTGAGTCATCTTCAGTGCCCATATAATTATACCCCTGGGAGACAGCTGCTCTGATACATGGAGGTACAGTCATGCTCTAGCTTGAGTCTGGTGTAGACAGCGGCAGGTGTCCATTTTTCCGTAATCACCAAGAACTGACCAAAATTCATCTCCTAAGTGGTGGGAGGGCTCTATTACCTATTTTCTCCATCTTAACCGCATGTGTTTCTAATAAGGCACCTACAGTTATTACATCACCAAGTCCCACATGAAGCACTGGGGGCTTGGAATTCACAAAGAAACTGAGTAAAATCTTGGGCCCCACTTGAATGAAGCGATGACATGGCTCACAGCTAGAGTGTTCAGTTCGGATCAGATGGGCTTCTCCTGTTGAAAATGCTGCTGGTGATCACTGACAGAGCATTAGTTTGTGTCAGGAATTGAACCTCAGCTCTCAACTAAACAATAAAGTAAAAATATTAGCTTGGCTGCAATAAAGTTTTCTTGCAATGCTTCTATCAAACAAAGCATTTATATCTATCAAGAGCAATATGCAGTACTTAAGTTTTCTCTTGCTTTTGCATTTTGTTCTATTATTATTGACCTGAATAGATACATCTCTGGTTAAAATTTGTTGAACTGCTCCTGATAAAAGTTCAATGTGAGCTGGATAGAGTGGCAGACACCAGTAATCTCAGCTACATGGGAGGCTGAGGCAAGAGGACTGCAAGTTCAAGGCCAGCCTGGCTAACTTTCTGTCTCAAAAATAAAAAAGGGCTGAGGATAAAGTTTGGTAGTAAAGTGTCCCTTGAGTTCAATCCTCAGCACACCAATAATAATACTATTATTATTATTATCATCATCATTATTATTATTATTATAATGAATTAGTGTTCCACAGCAGTCCATCTCTGAAGGGCTAGGACAGGTGCTCAGTGATTGACCACTGGCCTAGCAGGACTGAGATCCTAGGTCCAATCTCTTTGAGGTCTCAATATAAGTAGTAATTTAAATTATGGTACCAGTGGAAGTTGTTTACTTCATTTTCTAAAAGTTTCATTTGTTTTTATAGTTTCAAATGCTAGTTTCTAAGTCATCACTCAAAAACAATAGCTAATTTTTTTAGTTTGGTCACTTTTCTGGAATATTTGGAATACTACTTTTGAAGTGTTTTGGTAAAATACTTCCAGAATTACTCAGAAGACAAAACTTTTGAATGCCTTTCAACAATCATGCTTTGCTTTCCCACATGCATCAGCCTGAACTTAATTTAAAACTTATATCTGAAAACTTCACCATAACTGTATTTAGTGGTTCTACTTAAGAGCTGTTGCCAGTCACCCATCCTGGAGACCACCCAACAGTATTACTGCATCAGAGCTCAGCACTGGGGAAGGGGAACTTGCTCCAAAGCAGTAACACCTAAAATTAGGCAGAAGTGTGTCACAAATCCACCACGCAGCAGAATAGTGAGTGAGAGGAATTCTTTTGAAACATAAACATGTTGTTTATTCACTTCTGAATTCTGGATGTGTGCTTGAGAAGGAAAAATTGAAGGACTTTCACTCTGAAAGTGAAAGATAAAATTATAGTCATGTATGCTTCCCATCCTACCATGAAGAAATAGTCATGAACAGAGGTAGGAATGCCTCCCGTTGCAAAGATCCAGATAGTACTTTTTCTGAAATGATTTAAATGGCCAAAGGGAAGAGTCTGCTGCCAGTAACAGCAAGTTAATATATTTTAGGTGAAAATATATGAAGAAGACTTCAAAAAGGAGCGCTCAGATCGAGAAAGACTTAATCAGGAGAAAGAAGAACTACAGCAAATTAATCAAACTTCTCAATCCCAGTTGAACAGGCTGAGTTTTCAGGTATAAGTCAAAAACAAAGTAATCTGCCAAACATGTGTGTGTGTTATTTTTACTTTCTCATTTTAAAAATATTGAAGTCTTTTTTAGTTCCGTGTTTGAGAGGGCAGCACCTGGTATGAAATCATTCTTCCGCAATCTTGTAAAGAGATGAAAATGTTTGGAAATTTCTTTTAACTTAAGTGTGTCAAGGAATTGCTGAAGAAATTGGATTCCAAAGCCTTTTATAAAATACAGTTCTTGTGATCTTTTTTTCATAATATTTATCTTGGTAGAATGGGAGTTGAACTACCTACCACTCAAACATAGTGAAGTGGTTTCTAAATTCTTGTCATTTTCTTTGAAGGGGTGTATTGGAATGTTCCTATCTTTAAAAAACATACATTTTTCTAAATGCCATGTATTTGTCTAGTGAAACTTTAGAATTTTACTAACTCAGATTTAACGTAATTAGAACGGTTTCAAGGAAGCCAGTTTATTGGAGTAGAATATATTAAATGTAAGTGAACTAAAATTGAGTGTAATAGAATATGTTAAAAGTAGACTCAGGAAGTTGCAATGGTGGGTAAATACTGATGTTAATGAAGGAAAATGTAACTAACATTACCTTGACTTGAGGAAATAAACCACAACTTTTTTGGTTTGCAAAGTCATGCAGTACTTTTCAGTGAAGAGGAAACTTGTGTGAGACATGCTATGGTAGTTCTTTAGCTTGAAGATGTTTAGTCTTCAAACAAATTTTAAACTATTAATCATCTCTTCTTCCTCATAAAAAGTATATTACAAATTAAATTTGATTCTTTCCCTCATATTTTTCCAAGGATTAGCTTGAAATTTTTAATTGTATATGGAAAATTATTGGCCAGAACCATTTCCTTTCTAAGAAATTAAGAGAAACAAAATAAAGGAATTAAAAGAAAATTAGAAGGAAAAAATGTAATTAGATAATTTTCTAAAATAATTTATGCAACTTAATAAATACTTTAGGAAACATGGGTGGGAAAAAGTTTTTATTATTCTTGAAGAAATTACTCTCTCAATTTTTACTTATTACATGTGCAGAGGCTTAATTTGTTTTAAATTGCTAGTACACAAGTAATAATTTTACTTTTGCCATATTTTAATTTTATTCATTCAACTATATTAAGTTCAAATTGATGGTAAATTGGAATCTAAGGCTGGCTATTATCTCATCTTTATAGGACTTTTAGTCCACTTGGAAGCATATATCTATCTAGTTAACATTTTAGGTTATGAGCCATAGGTAGTGTTTATGTGTAAAGTAATTTTCTGCTAATATTAAGAAAATAAATATGTTTTCTAAGTATGGTATGTCAAAATTGTGTTTATGAGTGAAGGAGCAATCTTCTGATATAAATAATACATTGAACTATCAAAAATTTTCTTTAAAATAACAATAGCTGAATATTTTTTTTCAAAAACATTCACTCCAGGAAAGAAAAATAATAAAATTCTCAAAGAGATATAGTAGATTGACTTGATGATCTACATTATATGTATTAACAGCAGATTAAATGCCATGGTACAATAAAAAGAACTGACATCATCTGAGTCAAGTAACATATTTTTAATACTCAACTGAAGTTTAAAACACATTTTGTATCGAATTACTCTGGCACTAGTTACATCCAAAAGTATATTCATTTTATCACTTAGAAAGTTTTAAGCAAGTAATAGCAGGTAAGTAAGCAATATAGTGAAGTGAAAGATACTAAGGGTACCTAAAAGTAGGAGGAGTACAGGGGAAAGACCCTGTAACCCTGACTCCTTTGACACTCGGTTGGTGGTGGCCTTGAGCAATTCATTTCATGTCATGCTTCCTTTTCCTCATCTGTAAAATGAAAAAGACAAAATGATCTCTAGAATGTTTACTAAAACCAAAACAAATTACCTAACCTTGCTTAGTATACTCATACTATGCAGTATGAATAAAGGTAACCACCTCGTGTCTTCTCCATTGTTTCGTCTGCAAGAGGGCTGGGACAGAAGTGAGAACCTTTATAAAAACACCTAGCTCAAATCGTGGCTCAAAGGCATTTCATTACTGTAGTCTGTCAAAGGAGTCATGTTTAGCAGTTTCATTTAATTGTAAAATTCGCGTGCAATCTAACTTTGCTCTTTTCATTCTGCCATGCACTGTGAGGAAATTAAAAAACAAGTAGTCCTTGCAATTAAAAGATTCATAATGTACTGAAAGATTTATGCAGGCTTTCTTTATCATTTGTAAATTCTGTATTTGTGAATTTTCCTACTCCCAAAATCAGTACTTGTGGTATTTTTGTAGTATATTTACAAACCTGGAGAGTGCAGTACCAAACTGGAGTCCCCTGACACATGTTCACAGCTGAAGTCAAACAAGCCTGCTTATGTGTAATTTCTGTATGCTTGCAATACAGAATAGTGGTACTTGTTAGGGAAATTGAGATAAGCACATAATAATCTTGATCACTTTCAATCCCTTTCCCCCACTTCTCCCACACCTCCCCTTGCCCTACCCTCTTGTTTCAGTTTATATACTATAATGTGCCTTTTTGTGGTCTATTTAGGACCATATTTTATGCATTTTCTGTTTTAGGTTATTTCTTTTTGATTTTGTGGGATTTCACTGTTTAAACTGGCCTCGCACTTTGTGCTAAAGTACAGCCCAGGGTTCCTAAATGTAAGATAGCTGCAATGTGCCATTACAGAGAAAACAGTGTGTCAACTTTGAATAGGCATAAAGTATACACCTGCTGACTATGAGTTCTGTGTTAATAAATCAACAATATATATTGAATAATGTCTTTAAACATTAATACACATAAAAAAAGATTATATTTCAATCAGTTGCAAAAAATGTTGTAACCAGAGGCTCACAGGAACCTAACCTTGAATTTGTCCTGGGAGCACTAGTTCACTGCTTTTGCTGACTTTATAGATCATATTTACTGCGAATAGTAAGAAGTGACTATACTAGAGTACACTGGACTAAAAAGTCACATAATAAACCTAAGGCTAAATGAGAGGACAAAGAGAGCAGGGAATAGTTCCAAGGCACAGGGCTTAGATTTGACCATGCTTTATGGATGCAGAATGTGAGTATAAGGGTGACAATGGTCTGACCAAAGAGTCAAAGCAAAGCCAGCCTTCTCTAGGAGCATCAGATGTAGCAAGAACCCCATCTAGGTGACTCTGCTAAAATTTGGCCTTAAATAGTGAGAAGACAGAAAGCAGAGCTGTGTGACATTGAAAAACTTATTCAGTATCTCATCTATCCAATGGGGTGATAATATGAAGTATCGCATAAGGGCATTCGGTAGCTTCAAGAACTTACCACACATAAATCACATAGATCAGTGCCTGAGCTGTGTTAAGTTCATATACATCCTCTAAACCTTACGGTGGAAAGCTCTGAATGTCAGGCTGTCCAGTTCTAATTTCATTCAGTGATCCACAGAAGGTGTTTCTACATTTGTATCAAAATAGACTATTCCAAGGCTAAGAACTGCAATGCGCTCCGTGGATTGGAATAACAGCTTAAAATCTTCTGCTTTATAAATTTCACTTGAGAATTTTAATACAGAATCAATGCATATCTTGAGGAAACAAGATGTAACTTGTTGACAAGACTGTTATCAATGCCTCTTATTTTGGGCTTCTGAGTATGTCACTGACAGCTGGGTCAAGACCAGATTTGAAATCAATGAACACTTCTTGAACAAATGCTTTTCCCCTTGTAGATAAAAGCTTGTCAGATGGAGAAAGAAAAGCTAGAAAAGCAACTAAAACAGGTATGTTATTCTTACCTATGCCCTATTGTCATGGTTAAAATGCCAATTTAAATTCCACCCACACATTTTCCCCATGTGCAGTATTTTTCATGGCCCCAGTTAAAACATACTCAAGCTCTGCCACAGATGGCCTAGGACAACCAATGCTTTTCATTATCTACTAAAATATGAATGGATAGATTGTGCTTAGCAACCACCAAAGCTTTTCAGCCCTAACATTCATGAAAAACATATGCTGTGAAGAGCGTTACCAAGAGAGCCAGCCTTAGTGTGTGTTTACTCAAATGAAGATTTCTTCAGAAACCCACCCACACCTGGGAAATACATTTCCTTGGTACTTCTTATAGTTGCTTACACAATTTGCTGTGGAAGCCTACATTACTGACTTTTGTCTCATTTTAGAAAAGAGAATCTCTTCTTAGGCATTGAATCGTTCCATCTTGCTAGTTCTCTGGTAGCTTTAAAAGTAAATATTATTTACCTTAATTCATAACTTCCTGCTTAGACTTTAATTATGTCTCTGGCTAGAGTTTAATAAAACTTAAAACTTTATGGTTCAATGGATGGTTTGTATTTAATGAAGACCTTCTAGGAACATGACTCAGAAACACAGTTAACTGTATGTAATTTTCAACTGTTTCTAATTTCTTCAAAATAAGGAATTAATTGTAGCATCATCTTAGGTAAGATTTAGCTTGTAAGCCTCACTGGTATCAGTCCCCAGTCTCTCTTGATGGTTTTACTATTTTGAGTTGGAATTATGGCATATTAGGCACAACTTTAAGGCTGAAACCAAACTTTATTATGCAAAGCAAGTGTCCATGACACCTCCAGTGATCTGACAGCATCGTTCTCCTCAGATGTATCTCCCAACCTGCAACTGTGGTTTAGCTTTCCACCTACCGGATCCACGGGAACCACCAGGCCCCAGAGCTGTGCAGGATCAACGAGAACACCCAGTAAGTGTTTCCATTTTAACAATAAGCTCTTCATCTTCTTGTTTGGTAGAACTTACATGCATTGCAGGAATTTTGGCACACACTGATGTCTATAGAAAGAGCCTCTATTTTATCTCCATCTCCAATTTGCAAAGTTCTAACGGTCCATGTACACCGTAATTATCCTTGGGGCACTCAGTCCATGGGGCACATAGATATGAATAAGTTAACTAAATGATAGCAAATTGAGCTGTAATTCTTTGAACAAACATAACATTTTACATGGATCATTTTCCATGGTCATGTTTGACTCTACCCAAAAGACACTCGTATGTATAAAGAGAAGCAAAGAGGAATTAGTAAAACAAATGAAATGCTTTCTGCAGTTGTACATATATTGAACTACTGTGACTATCATAGTATATGTGCAAAATAGTTTTTGACATTTTCCGATTGAAAGGACTTTTTTAAAAGACCCAAAATAAAGTGACCCACTTAAGTAGCTCTCCATAACTGTGTCTACCCAGGCAAAATAAAATGAACAGCTGAGCAATTATTTGTGAGTGGAATTGATTTGGACAGTCAACCTGAATAAATCAGACTCACAGCGCCCTTCCTTTCCTTCTCAAGAGCAGGATTTCCCTCCCGCTTCCCCATGATGGGGTGCTAGGCTCTGCTCCCCATTTTGCCTACATAGGCAGAACCTTTATTTAGGAAAAGAAATACACATTTTTCTGCACTTTGATTCACTCAACAACAGTACCCATACCTTAGATTTTATTACCTGTGATTCTAATTATGCCAAAATTGAAGATTTTTAACTGGGAGTTTTTAAAGTGCACTTATAAAAACTTGGTATTCCCTGAAACTCTTATGTTGTGTATCTGAGTGTGACATAAAGCCTGATTCCAAAGAGAGCAGCTAATGACTCTCTGGGTGGCGGAAGATGTCAAGATTTAATGAGCATCTCTTATTGACCCTGGTAAGGCACAGCATTCTGCTGAGGGTTTATTTTCTTGCTGTTGCCATTTTCTGGTTCTTTTTGCTTTCCCTCCCCCATTTCCTGTCTTCTTTACCTGTTTTCTTGCTTTTCAGTCTTTAACAAGAACTTCCTAGAATCCTCAAACATAGGTATTATTTCTTTGAAATATTATTATTATTTCTTTGATATTTTTAAAAGATGTAGAAGTAAACTAAGATTTGGGCAAACATAAGAAGGTGGAGTAATCTAGGAATTAGCTCCTACAGGTTAGGGAGTTAGAGGAATATTGTTGTGAAAGACTAACTATGAAACTGAGCAGTCATTCAAATTTATCTAGGAGATAGCGTTTCTGTAAAATCTTTATAAATGAAAAGAAGGAAGGAATTCACGTAGAATGGCTCACCAAATTCTCCTTTCACTTAGAAGAGGCAAGGAAGTCCAGATCACATAAAACTAACATCAAATAAAGCACTACCTTGGAAAAGGACTTCAAGTTCTGTATGATAGCCTACATTTTCAAGCAGTATCATCTCACTGAACACAATCTCAATCTAATAAAACCTCAGGGTTAATTTTAAAAGAATGTTTTATATTTCTTGCCTACCTCTAAACCTGAATTAAGCCATACATGACACTGCTGTTAAAATTATATTTACCTTCTTTTGGCAAGTCTCCTAAAATACAAAACTGGGGCTCATGTCATTTATCCTATGTGTTACTTGAGACATCTAAAATAAACAAGAAGATAAAAAACAGAGGTGATCTCATTTCCTGCTCTAGCTCTTTTGTGGGCCCTGAAGATCTAAACAGTGAGGCATCTGAGTCCTGGTGATGTGAGTTGAGACTGTACTGATTGCAGCATTTCTCAGTGTCTTGTCTGATAACCAAATGTTTAGACTCATTGTTATGGTCTGACGTTCTTAGAAAGTGCTCCCTACTGGCTCATTGTAGCATTATTTATAGGAGATGATTAAATAATTGGAACAAAGGTTTATACTCTTTGGTTCTTGTGGGGAAGTTGGAGGCAGAATGATTCTGTGGGTGAGTAAAGCTGAAATTGCTCCAAGGGGCTGAGCACTAAGATGACAACCTTGGAGCTATCTTGATCACATAGGTGTGGAGCTTATTAATTATGCAATACATTTGTTCCTGTTCTCTGATATTTAATACCTGTTGTTCTTGTCTGAAGATGTGTAATCTTGGGGGGACATTCCAAAAGAAGAGTCTAATTCCTTTAAATCTAACCTGAAGAATTTAGAGAAGGGTTTCTCCTGAGGAACAGTGCAAAGGGAGATATTTGTCATGCCTCACCATCCCGAACCTCTGTACATTATGCTCACATACTAGTTTAGATTTCTTCCTTGAGCCACTAGGAAACAATAAGCTTGTATTGTTTTTCTGGTCTTCTCAATGCCTCCAGTGTAAAGGGTTTTACAAACAACATTTGCTGATGGTAGTAAGATGCTTTGTTTTATTTATGGGTGGCAGTAAGCATCAGAAAAGTGTTTATACTTCTGCAGAAACTCAAAACACATCTGCCTCAAAAAAAAAAAAAAGAAAAAGAAAAAGAAAAAGCACACTGAAACCCCAAAGTCACAGGAATTGTAGCCAAATACAATGAATTGAGGACAGGGTGGGGACAGATGGTGCTAGTGATGAGGGAAGTAAGTGGGAAAAGAGAGCTGGGCAACAGGTTTGGTAGAAATTACTTTTGTGTTGCCCATTTAATAAAAGCCGCATAGCATAATTATATTTTAATATGCCACTATGCTTTGTTTGAAGTTTGTATTGCTGTAATAATGTTTTATTGTTCCATACAGCCAGACTATCAGTGGTATGCTCTTGACCAGCTTCCTCCAGATGTACAGCACAAGGCAAATGGTAAGACCACAGCTGTATCGAGCATTCTTTCATGTTTACATTTTAATAGGATCTTTTTGGGGTGTTTACATACATTCAGTCATATTTAGGGAGGACTTACTGTAAAGTTGTGTTGCACATACAACTGTAATTTGATGCACCTGGGGTTAAACTGAACTCCTTAAAACAAAGAAAATGTTCAAATGGAGAAATGCATAAATCTCAATTCTGGCTTCTCTTCCTATTGCAGTCTCAGAGTCAGAATTCCATCTGGGGATAGAAATAAAAACTTTCAGCAGAACTGTATTAAAACAACAACAACAAAGCTTTATGATTCCACTACAAAGGACAGATGCACAGCCACTATTCCAGGTTGAGTTCTCTAGACAGATGTTTTAAATGTCACTGGCAGACAGACAGAGGAAACCAAAGGCTCAGAAGTGTGTTCCCTCGTGACTGCATGTCAGACTCCAAGACAGAGCTCTTCTTCATTTCAGCCAGAGTTGCCCACAACACCCACCTCAAATTACGCTGGGAAAAACTAGTCACCTATAAAACACAACTGAGAGTAATTTTTGATCTTATTTTTCCTTGGTTTACCATCCTCCTCCTTCTTTCCAGAATCTGCCAAACTTCCTACTACTACTTTCTGCAGTCTCATGAGGCCACCCAGGAGTGGGGTACATAAACTAAGCTATAAACAGAGTCCCATTTCTGCTCTCATCACACGTATCTAAACGTTAGCAATATTTGTTACACATTTAAGGAATCCTATGACACACACCTGCCTCGTTAGTTTGTAGGGATTTGAATATATCTCGAAACCTCTATTCTAACAGCAAGCCATACTTAAAGTTTGGTCTCATTCACTTTTGAGCTGAGATCACATCATTTTAGTTTTGAATGCAAGGAATCTATTATGGAATGGAAGTAGGGGGCCAGGATTGCCACATATAGTTCTTTTTTTATTTTAAAGAGAATAAAAAGTAGAAACGATACAGAACTTCACAAAACAAGATAATAGGAATTCAGGAATGCTTGGTATATTGCATATTGTTGTCTTCAAGTTAGTTGATAGATTACTAGATATAAGCATGCAAAATTCGTCAAAAAAATTTAAGCATGAACTGTTCCTTTCAATAAATCAGTAGAAATCAACAGTACAATTTATCTTAGCTACCCTCTGTTCTGTAGGCTGTGAACTTCACAAGTCTAAGGGGTTCACTTCCTCATAGTTTAATGAAGGCAGCCTCCAATTTGTGCAATACAGACAGCAGAGTTGATAGTGAGAAAGGCTACAGCTTAGAGAAGAATCTTAGAGAAGAAATATAAAAAGTGAGAATTCTATAATAAAATTTCCAGGTATTTATCGGAGAACTATAAGACTTTCCATTTTTTTTCCCTTTCTACTACAAATATAAACTGTGATTTTAATGATGTTCTTGGGTTCCAACCATAATGGAAAACGTTTATTAGAAAGGCATACTATTATCTAGGATGATTATTATTTAATGTCTGTTTTTGAAATCCACTCTGGTATAATAATTGAGTTGCCACCCAATTATAGCTTTTAATTTTCTATTGGTCTGAAATGAATATTGAAGGTATTTTCTCCCTGATTTGCAGTTTAGTAGAGATTACACTTACTAGAAAGTTCAGAAGTATCATCAGGCCATTTATGTATCAATACTGAATTCTGCTTGAGATAATGGTACAGAATCTAATAATTATATAAAGTAGAAATAAATTGTGCTTCAAAAATGAAATTGAAAATGCAAAAATGAAGTTCTGTAGTGAGTATAGGAGACCTAATGACTTTTGTCTTCTTAAGGAAATATAATAAGCTTTGTGATGAGAATATTAAGACTGTTTACAAATATAAGATACAAGTACTTTTAAAACAATCTATATTTTATTATTCACACCAATGCTATAAAATGGGGTTATTTTATATCATTTTACATGTGAGAAAACTGGGGCTTGAAGAATTTAAGTAACGTACTGTAGGTACATGCAAGATTTGGCACTGGGGTTGTATTATTTAACATACGGGGTTCCAAACCCCGTGCTTTAGAACGTATCCTACAGTGCCTTTGACGATCTACTTCTCTTGTTATATTAAAGATTTCAAAAATTTGTAGATGTAAAAATGAGAAAGGGATGATAATCTGACTATCATTTAATCCTCAATTTTATTTTATGAACTCACAACACATGCTATCTGTGTTACTCACCTGTCATTTAGGATGTCACAGGTAAGAGACACAACATTATGTGAGAGTAAGTGTGTAATAAATGTCTCTTGGCCTAATCTGGGCATGGGCAGTGCTGGTGGAACCTGATAGTAGTGCTGGGATTGAAACCTGTATTTCTCCATACCAACACTGCCCTGCAGGTGACTGTGACTCATATAGCCCATATGAAGAGGACCCATCATAAGCTGGGAGCCACCAAGAAAGAAATTCCTTACTCAGAAATCTACCTGTTTAGGATTCCTTTTGTTCCTTTACTACTCCCTACCTGCTCGTATTTCATAGCTCAAGCCAGCTCATAGGAATAACTAGAATCACCCTTGTCACAAAATTCAAGTGCTATTGCTCCATTCCAGTACTGACTGTTGCCATATTTTGGTTCATTTAATTGGAACATTTTTTAATCTGTAAGTTTTGTCTCAATTACTCAGAGTCCATTATATAGTAATGATTATTTAAAAATCACAGGTTTTTATTTATCCTTTATTCAAGAATATATTTCTCATCAATATACTATGTTTTAGGCTGAAAATACCAAAGTTAAAACAAAGAAGGGAAAAATGCAAGAAAAAATTAGAGCCTCTTTTGATCATCTATCAACAGAAATTATTTCTTAAAATTTGTGTTTCATTTTTTCTAATGTTCATTTTACTTATATTAAAGAAATATTCCTTTTTCAAAATAAATATTTATTTTGAAAATATTTACATTACTGCATAATTATATAAACTTATCATGTACAACGTGATATTTCAGTATTTCATTATACATTCAGTACACATTTCAGATCAAATCAAGGTAATTAACATTTTCATCTCCCTGTCATTACTTTGTGTTTGGAGTCTTGGAGCTCTTCTACTCTATTTCTTCATAAAACATATAATAGGTTACTACAAGATGTAATCATCCCCATCTGCTGGAGAACATCATTGACCTTGCTGTGTTTGGGGATCTTCTTGTTTTGATACTCAACTTTCTTTGATGCCCCTTCCCTTCATAGCTTCTCGTAATTGCCATTCTACTCTCTTCTACTTTAAGATAAACTTCTTTTCTTTTATGCTATCTGTTATTCTGTGTCTGTCTCATTTCAGTTAATATAATGTTCCACAGTTCCATACATTTTGCTGCAAATAACAGGATTTCATTTTTCTTAAGGCTGAATAATATTCCATCATGTATGTAGACCACATTTTCTTTGTTGATCTGTTGATTACTAAGATTGATTCCACATCTTCTCTATTATGAACAGTCCTCCAATAAACACAAGAAACCAGGTATCTCTTTGATATGTTGATTTCATTTCCTTTAGCTATCCCTTAGAAGTGAACTGGTTGGATCACATGGTAGTTACATTAGAAGTGTGGATATTTAAATTACTATTAATTAGACTGTTGTGGCTTGTAAATCATCTAGTTCTGTTTTGGTGATTTTCCTGGTTATTCACAAGTTTACCTTTTGGACCTCTAATAAATGTTTCATATTAGTATAGTTTTGTCTTAGTATCTCCTATTATGATTATTTCTCTTGTGACAATTAAATCTGAAATAGTATCTCTGTTTTCTATGATTGAATGTTCATAGAGCCGTAGCATCATGCACTTTAAAATGTACAGTGAGTAATGAGTGATTAACCTTCAATAATACCACCAGGTCCTTTTCTAACATTCCTGGGGCCTAATACAAGAATAAATGAAGTGCTACATATGATATGTGTAAATTTTATGAATCAAGCCTAGAACTTCTTAAAGTATAGTCTATCCTCTTATCTTGATAAATATACTAGAGTGAACTTGGAATGCTCAGCTCCAAAGCCAGCTCTTTGCCAGAACATGGTGGCCTAGGAAGACCTGCACTGGACCTCATGCTACCCTGTCCCCTTCTCCCCTCCTCCCACTGTGTAGGCTCTTGAGTGTTGATTTGAGGACAGTCTGGCTCGTACATCCAAGCTCCCTCTCAACACCCTTCATCACCATACAGGCAACACCCTACATAGATGTTTATGACTGTTATTTCTTCCTCTTGAAGTTTTCCCCTCACAAGTATGTAGTGACCCTCTCTATCTCTTTTGATTGTTCTTGGTTTGAAGTTCACGTTGAATGCAAACAGAATAGCTACACTCACTTTTTTCTGGGTTCCTGTCACATGGAGTATTGTTTTCCATCCTTTAATTTTCAGTCTATGAATTTCCTTTTGAGTTAAATGTGTTTCTTGTATACAGCATATAGGTAGGTTTTGTTTCTTGACCCACTCTGCCAGCCTGCTTCTTTTTATTATGCATTGAGACTGTTTACACAGATGGTTATAACTGATGTATTGGCTTATCTTTGTCATGTTATTTTCCTGCTTTTGCTTCCTCCCTTTTCCCTCTGTTTAATTGCTTGCTCTAGTAGGTGGTTCCTTTCTGCTATTGTTCTTGAAGTGATGGTCCATTTTATCTCTTTGTCAAATATCTTTTAGTACTCTTTGTAGCACTGGTTTGGCACTCATGAATTTCTTCAGTTGTTCTTTATTGTGGAAATATTTTATTTTTTCGTTAAATTTGAAGGATAGTTTCACAGGGTACATCAATCTGGGTGGGAAGTTGTTTTCTTTCAGGACCTGAAATACTTCACTCCAAGCTCTTCTTCACTTAATGGTTTGTGTTAAGATATCTGCTGTGATTCTGATGGACTTTCCTTTATAGGCGATCCGTTTCTTTTTTATAACAGCTTTTAATATTCTGATGTTTTGCTGAGTTTCCGGGATCTTGATCACTGTATGTCTGGATGTAGATTTATTTTAGTTATGGTTAATTGGAGTTCTATATGCTTCACTTAACTATATGTCCAATTCTTTTTACATGTCTGGGAAATTTTCTGCCCTTATTTCTGCAAATAGTCTTTTTATGTCATTTGTGTTGACACCTACTGTTTTGTTGATACCTATAATCTGACATAGTTTGTTTTTGCTTTGTCTCACAGCTGTTGAATTGTTATTTCCTGGTTCCTTATTGTTTTTAAGAGATCCGTCTTTTCATGTTCATTAGTGGTAATGCTGTCTTCAAGGTCTGAAAGTCTATCTTCAACTTCATTCAAGTGGTTTTGCCAACTTCTGATGAAATTTTTAATTTCCTGGATATCTGAATCTGTTCCATGCATTCTAGTTCTTTTCTATATTGTTCACTGAAGGTTTCCATGAGTTGTCTACGTTCCTCTATTTTCTTATCAGTGTCTTCTTTGGATATGCTGAGCAATACTTTCAGTTTTGTTGTCATTTTTTTTTTAACCTGAGAGATTCTGATCTGATGTCTTCTATGGCCTGATGGAGTTGTTTCTTTACTTCAGTTTGTATCATTTCAGAAATTTCAGGTGTGACTTTCAGGCTCTTCTGTGTTGATGTCTCCTGGCCTTGCTCCAGGTGGTGTACAGATATGAGATTGCATTTTGCTTCTTCATCTTGTCATTTTTGAAGATCCAGAGGTTCTCTGGAGCTCAGACTCACTCTCATGATGGTGTGGGAGTGGTGGGGTGAGGGTCCAAAGATCCCCAGTGCTCAGAGTGGCTCTTGTGCTGTTATGCAGTGGCAAGGTGGGGTCCCACATGCTCACCAAATTTCCTTGCATTCAGTTGGCTCCAAGGGTGGCGGGGAAAGGGCTGAAGAGGCTCACTAGAGTTCCTGAAGCTGTCTGGGGCCATCTTGGCTTCCACAAGGGTGGGAGAATGCAGGTGGTAGTCACTGAGGCTTCAGATGTTGCCCAGGACCCAGGCTGGTTCCCACGCCTGTAGGGGAGGGATGAGGGTGGAGTCCCCAAGGCTGCTGACTCTGTCTGGGTTTCAGTTGGGTTCCCACAGGGATGTGGGTCCTTCTGGGAGTGATTGCTGAATCCACAAAAGGTTTCCGGAGCTCCACCTGCCTCACACAATAGTGGGGGAGGCTTGAGGGCAGCTCACCTGTGGTTCCTGAAGATGTTCCTAGTTCATTCCAGCTCCTATGGGGATCTGTTGGTGCAGGTAGTGGCCACCAAGACCCCAGAAGGTGCCAGGGCTCTGCCTACCTTGCACACTGGTCAACCACACAGGGGTGGTTCACTAGGGTTCCTGAAGATGGCTGGAGTTCAGCCCGATGCCCGCAGGCACACTAGGGATGCAGGGAGTAGCCACCAAGGCCCCAGAAGGTAACTGGGGTTTCATCTGCCTCGCATGCTGGTTGAAGAGGTGCAAGGGTGGCTCACTGGGTTTCCTGAAGATGTCTGGGGGGTCAGCCTGGCACCCAGAAGCTCAGTAGGGGCCCTCAGTTCTTTTTTTCTCCTTCCCTCCAACTTCTTTTATTTGGCTAGCAAATAGCCTTTTTAATATATTGGAATGCATAGATGCTAATGAATTACAGTTCCTATTTAGAAATATGATTTTACAAAGGATATTTTAATCTCATTTCATGTGTTATCAGAATGGGATGTAAAATGACTTCCATATTTCTAGAATGATTATGGCAGAGTAGAGTTTGTATAGCCTGGAAAATATGGTTTGTTTTTTCTTCTCTGAAATGTAAAAAAGCTATGATTCCTGACTGCATTGTAGGTCAGTCCCTTCTGCAAATTTTACATACACTGCAAAGGTAAACTTTGTCTAACGAGCTTGAGCTCAATTCTTACATATTTGGAAGGGCATGCAATGTAGATATGAGAGATTGTGCTACAAGCAAAAATAATTACTTCAGCATAGAAGAAACTGTCAATGAGTCTTTGGTTGATGTCTATATCTGTTTTCATGAGAAGCCACTTTGAAGATATCAATATGTAATACAACCACCATTGTTAATTCCCTACCACTTTGTTTGTAACTCTGTATTGTCTGTATTGTGCTTGTGATATGTTGTAAAATGTTGTATGTCTGTTAATGTTTCCCTCCTTTTATCCTTAAAATAAAAAAAAGAAGGTGAGATATGCACACCTGTGCACATACAATTAATATGGAATTTCAAAAAAATTGAAACTGCAAAACAAACAAACGAAAAATGGCAAACTAAAGCAACCTGATGTTAACTATAAAAAAAAAATACTTCTTTATAATATAAAAGATCAAAACCTAGATATTGTGATTAGCCTTTACTGACATTTAATAATGAGAAATTATATCTGAGTACTGATTAACCTTGTTTCATAGAACTGCCATAACAACATAGTGCTAGAAAATAAGTGGCATGCTCATTTCAGCAGCACATATACTAAAATAGAAGCTGAGTGACATAGAAAAGCAGGAAGTTATTTTTCACAGCTCTGGAAGCAAGAAGTTAAAACTCAAGGTGTTGGCAGAGTTGTGTTCCCTCCAAAGACCTCTAAAGGAAATTCTTTCCTAGCCTTTGTCAGCTCTGGTAGCTCCAGGTAACCCATGGCTTATGGCTCCATTTCAACCTGGAGTATACCTCCAGTTCCAACCTTCTTCTTCAAGTGACCATCTTCACTTGTATCTGTCTGCAAATTTTCCTTTTCTTGTTAGTCCACCATTCATGTTGGATTAGAGCCAACTCTAATCCAGTATGACTTTATTTTAACCTGATTATGTCTACAAAGACCCTACTGTATTTTGGAACAAGTCATATTCATAGGATCCAACTGCCTCTTTAAGCACAGTGAGCACCTGTGATTCTCTGGTGGCCTTTCTCTCGCTCACCATCATAACCAGGAGCCAAGCCTTAGGATGGGAGGGGCTTCTGCCTTCACTGTATAGGGAATCTCTGTAAGACCTGTCTTTCTGTTGAAATTTCCATCCTGCCATGAGTTATCTTATGGGCTTTTTCCATCTAAAGTTTGGCAATAATGACCTTGATTCTAACCTCTTTCACAAGAGCACTAAACAAATAACAAAAGTTACTTTAAGAAATATTTTAAAATAAATACCTGGGAATAGTATCATTTATTGCTTAAGTCAGATCTGGGAATTAAACTTCTGAGGTCACTTTTCTTCGTTTTCTTGTGTGAGAGTGTCTGTGTGTGTGTGTGTGTGTGTGTGTGTGTGTAGTCAGTAATGGAGATTGAGTGCACGATTTTGCACATGATAGGCAAGTTCTACACAATTGACCTGTTTCTAATATGTTTTTAATTTAATAGTCACAAGTAACTTACTGTCTTACTGTTAGGTTTGCTGTTGTTAAAAAAAGTTAGTGTGGTATATCTTTGATATAATAAATGCAAGGCAGCAAATACAAAAGTCAACATGTTTTTAAGCTATAATGAATGCACTTTCTTGACATTTTAAATTTTTGTAACTTTTTTCCTGTTGTGTGTAAACCTCTTTAATTTTATCTTCCTTGCAATATTCATTTGTGGCAATCTATCTAGATCTATACTAGATTTTTCTTACTAGTCTTCATGATACACTAACACATCTTAAGAACAGTGGTCTTCTCTGTGGCTTTGACAATATACCCAGTGACATATTTTAACCTGCAGTCTTGTGTTCATTTGGCAAATTATCTTTCTCTGGGGTAAGTGCTGAATCTAATAGCAATAGAAATGACTTACTTTCATGAGGAAATGCCCAAGCCACTGGAATGTTAGCCAGAATGAGAATTAGTATAGGAATTCTGCTTCAGGAATGATTAGAACTAAGCCACAAGTGATTTCACAAAATGGTAAGCATATGTCAATGCTTAAAATAATAACCCTCCATTTCCCGCCTCTTGATTTCTCAGTATAAACTTATGGGGAGTTCTTTTTGGCCAGCCCAGAAGTTTATGTTAGCCCTAAGCTAGGAGAAGAAAAATGAAATTTTAATTTTTAATTTGAAACCTTTTCCTGCTGTTTTTCGTAGGTTTCTCCTCAGAAAAGAAACTCAATCTGTAGAAGTCTATAACCCCAGAGGAGGATGGGGAGCTAAGGGAGCCCTTAGCTGAAGGCCCTGCCTGCTTTGTATCTTCACTGTGCCTTGCTGCTGCCGTAACTGCACATTGCGTACCCCATCTGACGTGTGCCTGGTAGTGTTTCCCCTTAGCATGGACAAAGGCATGGACAGAGACTTCTGACGACTGAGATCCTGACTAAGCCTGATGAGCAAATTATTATACAAATAAATACAACTTCCAGTTTCCTCAGAATGGGATTTGGTAACATGAAACTGTCTCCGACATATGGCTGTTGGATTGTGAAATTTACCAAAATGATTCCATGATTTAAGCAGCTCGGTTCTTGGTGTACTGAAATTGTATGTTGTATATATTCCCAAGGGAAAACTTTCTGCAGCTCTAAATTTTTAGCATTGCTTCCATTTTCCCCTAGGGGCTCAGTTCTGTAGGCAGTTTGATGGGATACTGTGTTCATCTTTGTTGGCATGAATGAAGCTAAAACTAGGATTGAAGAGGTGTATATACTGTGCCTCCTGAAATTAAACAAGTGACTCAAACTGAATAAAATAGTAAACTTGAAACTACACTGTAGACAGATTTGTTTAAGATTATGAAAAACTGTGGGTCTATTTCACTTTCAGAAGAAATTGATTATGAAAGATAAAATCCTAATGGGAAGGTGATTTATTTGCGGTGTCTATATGTAGTTACAGAAGCAGTGTGGATATATATACAGATATAGATAGATGTGTAGAGTCCACCAAAAAATGTATACACATGTCAGGAAAGGAAAAACTTCTATGAATATTTTAGTACTAAAATTATTGAGACATACTGAGGGTAATACAAGTTACCTTCAGCCTCCGGAGTTACAAGAGGTGTTCAAAGTGACCATTACCTTCCAGACATTTATTAGTATGATAAGCTGCTGCTTGGGTAACCTTGGTCATTGAGATTGCTGCACATGCATTTTCAGTTTGTTCTCTATGGGATGGCAGTGTAGTGGGTTTTCTGCAATATAGAATATCGTTGAGGGTCCCCTATATGAGGGTAAGACCATCTGTTGATAAAAATATACTACTTTTCTTTTCCTGAAGTGTGTGTACACACTCTCTCTCTGTCTCTCTCTCTCCTCTCCCTTCTCTCTTTTGATAGATAGAGAGATAGAGAGATAGATAGATAGATAGATAGATAGATAGATAGATAGATAGATAGATACATGAACAAAGGCAGAGACTGATTTATGGTTAAATCTGTACTTTTCCTTGCTTTGGATTTGAACAGCTATAAATGAAAAATGTAATTCTGATACAATAACATGACAGATATCTAAAGATTCAGCAAATTTAAATGTATTGGTCCATCTATTTAATTAGGTTTCTGCGAGGACCAACTTGAGTGCCTCTCTGTGAGGATGAATATGTAGCAGAAGTCTGAGATCCCAGGATATCAGTGGAAATGTTTAGATAAAACCAGAAATGCCCACTGCATATGTAATAAAATAAAACTATCCAGATAAGTGTATTCAAACCATCTAGTTTGAATTTCCAAAACCTATGCTGCTTAATTCCAGCTCCAACTATTTTTCTTTCAATTTCTAGATACACTTGAAACTTTCCATACAGGGAAGGTGAAAGACCACAGGAAATTAGATATTTTCAGCTTTAGTCATTGCCCACCTGGAACATAATTCTTGTGAAAGAATTATTGTTCTCTTACACTGACTTCATAATTATTTGTTTTTGCTATTATTTATCAGAGACAAATAATTTTCATGCATTACTTCAGTATGAGTGAATCATAAAAACAGGATAGTTAACAAGTTAGCTGCGTGCAGACACTGGCATATTTTAAAATTTCCATTTCCTCAGATTGGTGGAAACATTATTGTAATGTCAGTTTCTAGTGGTGAATTAAGTTTGCAAACTGAATTGTGCCCACTGGAATAAAACTGAATGCACACAAGAAAATACCCCCTCAACAGGCCAGTTACTGGTCTACTCAGCAGCAGTAAAGCATGATTTATGTACCCATTCTGAAGTCATCCTATTATTAAGATGCCAAACATTGGTAACATTCTATGGTTGCTAATCTAATGGAAGAAAATCCCAGTTAAGTGAGCCATAATTTCACCTGAATCCCCAGTGGGGGACAAATGTAGTGAATCTTCAGAATGCAGCTGCCTTTCTCAGAAGACAGATTTTGACAGTACTGGCCTGATAGATAATCGTGTGTTCCATCCCCATAACGTGTCTGGGGACTTCTCTGCCTAACCTCATCCTAACAGTCATATGCTCAGCTGTGGCTCTTCATTTTCACGCGCAAGTTGTGTAAAGAAAACTGGGTGCCATTGAAAAGAGAAGATGTCACATGACCTGTGTTATGTAGGAAGGAAATGTAAAGTAGGTATGTTTTAGGTTTCTGGTGATCACGGGGAATTTGATATTTGACTCAAAGGTACCTCCTGCAGAGAAAAATGTATTCACTCATTTCTGGTTATAATGTGAGTTTAGAGGAAAGCCTTCCCTGGGTTAGTAAGTCTGGAAGAAAAGTCAGCCTCTACTGTGTAGGAATCAGCCCACAAGCTTTGTGCCTGACCAAAGGACAGCAATGAAAAACTAAAAGACACAGAATTAGGTTAACATGTGGGGGCCTTAGGTCTCTTGTCTCCCTTCAACAAAGGGCCCCGAGTGACTGCCGCACCCTACATTTACTCACTCAGACACGGTACAAGCAATTAGAGTAAAATAGGATCCACCTGCCTCCCACCGCCCACGGTACATGTCCAGGGAAACGACAGGATCTCAGCTGTATTAACTTGCCCCACAGCGTGTCAACACACACTCACACCGCCTTTCTCCCTAGTGCTTACAGAACAGGCCAACTAGGCCTCCACCCACACTACTGTTCCTCTCTAGCTTCATTTTTTTTCATTATGGGCAATATTGGCCTTAACAACAAAAATAATATTTTGGACTAAACTATGAGTACTATTGTCCAGTAGTGTACTAGTGGTTCAAACCACTAGTACACTTGCTTCCCAATGATTTTCTTTAGTGTACACACTTTAGTTATCTCACTAGCAAGAGAGGTATAATCATTCCCTGTGGTAGATGATTACTGCGGGGCACAGAGAAATTCCATAATTTCCCCGGGGTCTCACAGCAAGTCCGTGGCACCGCCAATATTTAAAATGGTCTGCATCAAGACCACCTAGTTTTCTGGGTGCTTTTTAGATTACCTCAGAAAGTTGTACCTGCCTTTATGGTTCTTTGTGGTTTTCATTAAATTGCATTAGAGGGGCATATTTCTTAAGAGAAAATAATTTGTTCAGAAATAATATTAAATATTGTGGGGAATTTGTAAGTCACCTCCAGGTTGAGAGAAATAACTCATTTAGATTAACACATAGGAAAATAAAAAGGTACACTTAGTGTTAAAGTGCATTAACCCATGCAAGTACAGGCTTTTGTGGTTGTTTTCAGGTATCTTCACTTTTAATGTAGCTTGGTCACTAGAGGAATCCATTTAAAAGACATGCGATCTTTCAGTTCAATTACTAAGTTCAATTGTTATTATTTAAATAGCTACTATTTTCAAAAATGTCTAGGCAGCACACAATATGTTTGTGCCCCCTTGCAGAATGAAGAAATATTCGGAGGGGAGGACAGAATGTTTACCAGCCCCTGTTCTCCCCAGTGTGAGGATCTCTTTGCCCATGTTTTTGGTTTCTGCCATTTTTCTTCCATCTGGCTAGAGATCCCAGTGATATAAACCCTGAGAGATATAAAATCAGTAGCATTGCTGATGATCCAGTCTCACTATGGTCCTTCTTTCAAACTTACTTAAGCCCTAATTCTATAGCTGAAATTTATTGAAGCCCTAATTCTGTAGCTCAAAAGAAAATATTTGCCATAATCTCTACTTTGCATTAACTTTAAAAATAATTTCTTTTGTTTAGTTTCTTTCTTGCACATCTCATCACCTTTTTCATCTCTACCTCATTAGTCCTTTCTTCCAAGGAAGAAAGTTGTTACAGGGACTCCCTGCCTTTGTGATTTCATAGAATGAGACACTTCTGTCAATGCACAGCCACACACACACAGGCCATAGAACACACACACACTCCCTCCATTCACAGACATGCCACATACATACACATACCTAAAACAGAGACACACTCCACACACTTCCTCACACCTGCATACATACACTGCACACATCCCGCACACATGTACATACCATACACACACACTGCACAGACATACACACCTTACACACTGCATTCACCACACATCCACACCCCATTTACACACATCATACACATGCTTTACCTCTGTCTATCCAATCCTGAAGGCAACATTGAAGATCCCTGATATCTCCATTTCATGACCAAGATTATTTAAGTTAAAAAATTTGTAGAATAAAATACAATGCTCCCCTATTTTGTCTCAAATCCTGTGTGTATAATATGTTGCCAAGACAAGAATATTGACAAACATCATTCTAAGCCACTTACTGGAAGTGTTAATGAGCTCTAGAACCAATTAACTTTACCAGTATGTAATTGCTCAGCAACATCAGTGGACTTTTGATGTTTGGGAGTGTGTGGATTTCACTGATAGGTGTGTTGCATGCAGAAATGAAAATAATCTGTCTGCTCTCCTTCTACTTTGTTCCATTACAATGTAAGAAGGAAGAGCAGGATTTAGAAGGGTACTGATGCATTGTTTTGGTAAACTAAACCCAGCCCTGAGGTGGGTTCACTTATTACTGTGGTTCACTTATTACTGAGAAGTAATTTGCTGGGAGAATCCATCTTCCTAACTGGTTTTTCTGAGTTGGCTTGTCACCAGCTTGAGTGTGTTTAGATCGTCCTGAGACTCCATTTCTACGTCTGTAAGGGAACCGCATCCTCGTGGGCAGCTGCAGGCCGATGCCCCACCACCAGCACATTCAGAGCAGGCAAGAACAGGGCTCCATCCCTCGAGACATCTCTGCGGGTGAGAGGCCCAGAAGACCAGAGGAGAAGAAAACAATGAATACAGAATTCGAAAGAAGAAACCTTTCTCTTGATGCCTCCCCCACAAAATCTTCTTTATAGACGTGTTTAAAGGTAAGAGGACAAATACAACACCACCCAGGAACAACAAGCTCTGACAACAAATCAGTAGAGAGAATCAGTGGTGGAAACAAAACCCCAAGCCTGACCCATTCAGACTGTAGACATTTTAAGAGACACCAGTGTGGGCTAAACTGCTCAGGATCATTTCATGTGTCTCTATCACTACCAGGGCTGTGTCCTTTGCCCTCACAAAGGGGACAGAGAGGAGACTTGTGTGAATCTCACAAAGCGGCACAGGTAAGAGATTTTGCACTTCTCAAGGGGTTGCAAAATAATAACGATAATAATAACAATAAGCATTGCATTCAAGTTCCTGATCCTCCTTTGGCTGTGTTTGAATTGTACAGGTTCTTTCTCCCTGTTCCTGGGAGGGAGCACCTAGTATCTTCTAGCTTTGTGACACCTCCCAAATTCTTTCATCCAAGAACCTGTGTTATTTTTTCTTTCAGTCTTTCTTTT